ATCAGTCTTGCTCAATCCTCTTGCACACCTGTCCTCATTGGAGCACTGTTGAGTCCTCAAACAATGGAAATATTCACAACTCTCTTTTTTTAATTGCATTTTGACTTGCAGGGGTCCTGAACTAGGAGCCTAATGATGTCAAAGGTCCAAAAATCAAATTATGATTTTCAAAATCAGGCCTTTCATCTACCTAATAAATCATTTTCAAAGGCTGCTTAAGGTAACTTTAAAAGGCTTTTTAAAGTAGTGGAAATGTGTTTGTGAGTAAATGAAACTGTTGTGACTCCTGCTTTATTTCTTAATTCTCCCACAGAATTTTTGGGAATTGCTTCTTTTACTCCCATGGGTCAGGCATTGTACTTTGTGCTGTTAACCTCTAAACATAATTGCACTTTTTCCAACGCTGGAAAAATGATTGAATAGCAAATCTTTCCCTTGTTCTGGCTGACTGTGCGAGGTTAAAGGTTTTTAAGTAATTCAGCCAATCATTACACAAGTAGTACAAAGTCCATTTGTTACATCATCAGAAACTTTTTTCTATCTTTTAACCTTTGGAGATTTTTATTTATTAATCTTGAATTATTGGAAAAAAGTGTGGTAACTGCTAATATTCAAATGAAATTTGTTGTTCCCATAGTCTCCTTTCCAAAAGCTGGTCTTTTATTTCAGAGTCTGAGTATTTACTCACTGTAGTATTCACTTGAGAAAAAGAGCTGGCTTTCTTAACTAATTAATGGAAAGATATTGTCTTAAGAGTGATTCAAAGTACCTGGACCAGCCTCTTTCTCTGAATCACCTTCTGCCTGGCACAGCCAAAATCTGATCTAATCTTGGTTTAGCTGCAACAGCAACTTTTGGATTTGACCAAATGTCTGTAGGTGATTTATTTTGCTTTTTGCTTACCTTTCTGTAGTGTAATCTTAGTGCTGTATAAGTGGAGAGTGCACGTGGAGTGTGCACATGTCTCAGCCATGCTCAAAGTACAAAGAACCCCCCCAAACCAGATAGATTTTGAAGAGAGCAGAGGCCTTGAGCTGGTTTTAACCCATGGGTTTCTTGGCCTTGTGACAATGAGGATGCTCTAGAGAACAGTAATGAAAACACATTTATGTTTTTATTCACTGCATGTGTACTTGCTACAGTCTAAGTGTTGTTTGTAGTTTATCCTAATTTATTGTGGTTTATGCACATTGGTAGAACACCAGGTTAATCCAAAATCCTTTGTACTTTCAAACTAAAGTAAGCAAATGCTGTATTAAGCATTAAACCCTCCACATGAGGAAAACAAAAGAAAAAACAACAACAATAAAACATGGTCAGAGGCCTCTGACATGAAGTTAAGTGTGTGCAGCTCCACCAGTCCATGATCTGATTTAAGCACGTGCCTGGGCTCAGAAATGCTCAGACTCAGTCAGCAAAGAGCTCCTCCCTCTCCTAACAATTCACCTTCTGCTTGCCCTGCCCACTCTTAAAATATCTGAACCATAACCCCAGAAAAAAAACAGAAGAAAAATCCAGGCAGCTTCATCTCTATTGGAGTTTTATCCCTCAGTCCTTACTCAGTGTCTTCTGTCAGAGAGGCCCTTGAGGTCCCTGCCCTCAGCCTGCAGGGAATGCAGTCGTGGCAGGCTGTGAATGGTAGCACCAAGCCTTGTCCTTTATTTGTGCAGGTAGGCATCGTGCCAGAGCTCTCCTGAGCTCTTCAGGGAGCTGGGAGAGAGAGAAAAAGAGGACACTCACAGGGCTGCTCAGGACAGCGTTGCTGGGACAAGGGAATGAGGTTTTGTCTGTGCTCTCTTCCCAGCATCCCAAAAGAAGCTGAGTTGGGAGAGCCCCACAATGACAGAGTCCAACTCAGCCCTGTACAGCATCCCCAAGAGTCACCACGTGCCCAAGAGGGTGAAAGGAGAGCGAGACAACTCTTGCTCTTAGGATTCCAGCCTCTCCTGCATTCTCGGGGGGTTTGTTTTTACTCACTACACGATGTCAGCAAAGGCTGTGAGCAGAGGCTTGCACTGGTACTCAAGGCCATGCTTGGCACACAGGGACTTCACCAGAGGGGCCACCTTCCAGTAGTTGTGCCGTGGCATGGAGGGGAACAGGCTGGGAACAGGAGACATGCAAGCTTCCTAAGAAATCCTAGTCATTAATACTTCCCAGGAATCACCCAGCTCCCAACGAGCAGGGGCTGTAGCTGCTCCCAGCTCCTCTTTCCCCCTGCTGTGCTTTTAGCACAAGGAATTTGTAGGAATTTCCTGCTTTTCCCTCTGTTCTTTTCCAGTTTGTCTCCAAATTAAATTATGTTTATAGAAGAAACAACTTTCCCCTCCCTCCTTTTTTTCCAGAGGTAGCCATCTCCATAGCACAGAGGAGGAGATGAGCCCATCCTTCATCCTTGCATCTCTCACTCTATAGAGTAACAGCATAAAAAAATCAGCAGAGGTGGCTTTAAACTCCTGTGGCATACTAAAAGAGGTGCTTTAACCAGGACACTTCCACTGACCCTTAAAACCTACAACTTGGGATTGACTCTGTTGCTTTCCTTGCATGGATCCTTCCCCTGTTCCATTTTCTCTTATCCTGTGGATCCAGTGAAAGTTTTGAATTACATGATTCTCTTCAAGAGTTTCAAATTTTAAAGACAAACTCATTGGTGCCCCACAGCTATTTGTAGAATTCAGAGCAAAAAATAATAAGGAAAGGGGAAAAAAAAAAAAAAAGAAGGAAAAATATTTTTTAAAAAGGAGGAGGGGAAAGAAAATTCACTCTTGGGGTGAGTACTCACTGATGCTCAATCTGGAAGTTGAGGTGCCCTGTGAACCAGTCATTGAACAGAGACTGCTCCACGTTGCAGGTTGCCTGGAGCTAGAGGAGAGGAAAGGAAAGCAGTCAGAGACAGGTCAGAGTATGTTTAGGAACCAGAGGTCGACCTGAGTTTCATTTTGGATTGCCCATGAGTGTGTCACTGCTGTCCTCCTTCACCTTTTCCACCACTGAATCCATCAGCCATTAACCTTCACCTCCCAGCCACAAACAGATTTCACCCTTAAGGCAACATGAGACTTGCTTATGGTTAAAATTTGTACCTCTATGGTCACAATTACAATTCTTAAGAAAGGAAAAAACTTTTACCTGAGTCGACATCCAGTCCAAATTCTTGTCATAGTCGATGTCCATTGGGATATGGTTCATCTGTGAGACCCAGACAAACCAGCTGCTCTCCAGCATCCTGTGCAGTGAGATGAGAGAATTCAGTGCTGGGTGAGCAGCTCAGCAAGGAGCCATTGAAATAACAGCAGAGCCAGACTTAAAGACACAGCTGAACACTAGCCTTGAACACTAGGCCTGCTAAGCCAGCACTGGAAAGACTTCCAAACCCTGGAAGTTTCATATTTCCTTATGAAACTCATAATTATTTCATGTGTTTTGTCATAACACATGTTCAGCTTGTTTTATCTGTAGCCAAGGCCCAAACTGATTAGAATCAGTGAAATGATCCAATGGGAGAGTGTGTGTCCATTTAAATCAGTGAAGCTGAATAATACCTGGGCATTTGCAAGCCCAGGATAAGCTATTTTGGTTAAATCTTTAAGCAGCAGCAGACCAAACACTCAAAGCACTGAATGTTATATGAGGTAAACATTTCTCAATTTGGTCAGCACTCAGTGAAGTCTCTTTGCTGTCACAGCTAATGGGGCAACATAAAACTTGCACTGGCAATTGAACAAAAGAATTTATTAATTAAAAAGTAGGCAAAAAATGAGGTGGTAAAGGAGAATGTTGAAATATAAACATAGAGAAAGGCAGGCAGGTGCAGATGGAAAGAATGCATAGAGAAAATGCTGAAGAACTTTCTAAAGAGGCATTACCTGAATATAAAATAATATGCCAGGAGACTCTTTGTTTCTAATAAAGATCCATAAGTATAAAAGAATCTGATGTAGAAGGTCATCATCCAGGCCAAGTCCTACCAAAACCAGAAACAACAAGAAAAACAGGTCTTTATAAATTACATTTGCTTATTTCTTTTTTTAAGCTTCATAGTATAGGCATAAGAGACCAGTTTACTTTCAGCTTTGACAGGATTTTTCTGAATGCAATAATCTAAGGCAATCCAACCCAAGGCAATGATACTTTCTCACAGCTTGCTGTAAGAGGTGAATGTGAGCATTTTGCCCAGCAAGGAGCTGGCTCCAAGATTGAAGGTGCCCATCTGACCCCTTCTGGTCACACAAGCAGCAGCACTCACCACCCAGAACTTCTTTGTGTAGGCAATGTAGAATGTGTGGCAGTGGAAGTAGGTGGGGAACAGGAGCGGAGGAAGAGCTGCAAAGAAAAATTCGTCACTGGTGACATCATGGACTGAGTGACACCATCAGCCTGGGAGGGAAGGGTCCTGAATTCCTGCTCAATCTGGAGAACATTCCAGGTTAGGGTGTTGGTTTCGTGCCTTGAAACATTTATAGGTCTTTCCATTAATCTGAGACCTCAGATTTCATTTTAGGCTCCTGGCTGAGGAGCAACCACAAATGATTATTTTGAGAAGAGGCTTCCACAGCCTATAGCTTACCTGGCTCCTTATTCTTTGGTGCAAAGCAGGGGAACAACAGGAATGCACATGAAATCCTTTTTCTATCAGGGATTTGGAGTTGAAAACTCAACCTTTCAAAAGGACATCTCACTTGCACTTAAAACAACCCCAAGAAACCAAAGCAAACCGAACCAAAAAACCCCCAAACCACAGACTTTGATACTACTGAGAGATTGGTCTGACATTGCAACCCAGAGCCTCTGTGGAGGATGTGGGAAATCTGGGATAGGATGCGTCAGGTCTTCAACTCTTCCAAAAATCTGGTTATTATTTTGGCTTTTTTTGTTTTCTTTGACTCAGGCAACTTTGTTTTTCTCAAGTTCTCCAGGTGAAAAATAACATCTCCTAGCCTCTTTAATAGCTCTCAGGGAATTGCAGGGGGATGGAGATACTCACTAATGAAGAAGTATTTGTGTTGGTGGTTGTAGGGCATGTATTTTTTCTTTTTGATGCCAAGCTGTGAAAAAAACAGAAAAAAAAGAGTGGAGACCAAGCAATTTGCACAGGTAACTTGCTTTTTTCCATTTATTTTCCAGAGGGACTCTACTTGCACACTTCCCACAACCCTCATTCCTTGTTTCAGGATTCATTTTGTGAAGAATTGGATATATCAAGTCTAAGTTATGTTATTGGTCAGAAACACATATTTTCTCTCATTTTCCCCCCTTATTTCTTCTCTGATTCTCTAAACTTAAATGGCATTTCCACTACGGCATGGAGAAAAATATTTCACTGCTATGATGGGGTCTCAAGAACTGATGGGATGTACAGCAAAAGGGGTTCAGCACTCTCAGGTTGTCACTCCTGGAAGTGTCCAAGCAGGACAAACTGGGAATGTCCTACATGGCCCAACAAATTCTGCCCAAGTGGAGTTCCAGGAACAGCCCCAGGTTTTTCAGTCCTGCTGTTCCTGTCACAGCAAACTCTCCTAGAAGACATGGACACACCAAAGCCACCCATCTGACTGAGCCTCATACATTAATATTAAAATAATAATCCCAGGTTGACTGCAGCCAAGCCTTCCATTGATGTTTATAAGTTATCTAATGATCATTAATTACTGAGTTGTTGTTCTAGGTCATGAGGTTTCTCCAGCCATTAATGTGCTGGTTATATACAATGCCCTTCCATCATGTCTAATTTATTTACATCAACGGATCAGCTGTTCAAGACATTCTTAAAGAGACCTAGTGTGAACTGTGGAGAAATAAATCTCCTTACAGAAACTGCCATCACACTTTAATTTTAGACTTCCCACATCCACTCACTGACCTCCACAGAGAATTTCTTCCCCAGAGTGAAGAGGAAAGGGTGCATGTCGATGTCAGGGTCCTTGTGGAAGCAGTTGGGTTTGGCGTGGTGCTGGGAGTGCAGCAGAGTCCACCACTTGGCTGAGGCCCCCTGTTCCAGGGAAGAACAAAGCATGAAAAGCACTTTCAGAACCAGATTCCCCTCAGTTCCTGACTCTAATCCTCCCCCCAGTGCTGCACATGCTCCATAGATCCTTCAGAACACACAATTTTACAGGAAAACCCTCAGAAGTTTCCCAGGGACTCACAATCAAATGGCACATCACAAACTTGTGTAGCAAGTGGTTCCATTTGGTTTTCCTGAATACTGACAGGTGTCCTAAATCATGCTGTAACCAGGCAGCCTGGACCTGGAGGAGGAAAAGGAAACTTTGAAGGGGAGGAAAACAGGAATTGAGGCCAGGATGGTTCCACATTCATCCTTTGCTTTGAAATATCAAGATTTAATTCTCAGGCATTGCTCTAAAGCCACCAGCAGAAAGGGACTGTGGAATCCTGACATTCTCAAGGCTTCCCCCAGAATATATGTTGCTGAAAGAATCCCAAACTAAAGTTTAGTGTGAGCTCCCCACATGCAGAATTTCTTCTTGGTATCCAGATAGTGACTGTGTTTTTATGACAAAGTGAAACGGCACCAAGTGAGGAAACAAAGGACAAGAAACTGCTCCCGTGTGTGTGTGGAGGTTGATGCCAGTCCATGCCATGGAATTCATTGCTCACCTGGGAAATGGTCAGCAGCAGCAGGGAGAAAACGAAGGGCAGAAAGGATGTCCCAAAGTAGAAGAGGACGAGCCAGGCAGCTGTATCCAAGAGCAGGATGTGAGCCAGGAGCAGGAAGAAGAAGAGCTGGTTTGGCTCCAGGAGTCCCATTCTCTCGACTGTGGCGCGCAATTCCCGGAAATCTTTCACCAGCTTTTCCTAGGGAAGCACCAGGGTTACAATTCTCTGCTTTTAGAGAGCACTGCTGCTCTCATAAACCCCAAAACCACTTTAATGGGGGGAGAAAGAGCAAAGGATCTGGCTAAAAGGGCAAGAGCTGAGTTTAATAAACATTATCATTGCTGTGCTACAGCTTTTTGTTGAACCATCACAATGTCTGCATCCCAATCCCTACAACAAATCCTCAGTGCTTCTTCCATCAAACCCTCGGCAGGCGGCAGAGGGCTCAGCTGGAAATTGGGTTTAGTGGAATTGTATTTTGTGTTCATGAACTTCTCATGCCACCTTGTGGTAGGTCTTTGGATGAAATTATTCCTTGCATTGTCTTCACTTTTCTCTTCCCAGGATTTACAGGGGAGGGTGAAATGCACCTACAGCTGAAGGAAAATATTTATTCTCCAAGACTATTCCTTTTCCTTTTGGTTAGTTCTTCCTCAAAGCAAGGGAAAGAAGAAGTGATAACTCTGCAATTGAGGTACAGTAGCTGTGATAAGAAAAATTCATCTTCAGGAATCTCATTCTCAACCACATAATGTGGATTTAGACTCATTCACACGTTGTTTCAAAGTAGTAGCCAAAAAATTGTGAGGAACCTGGATCCCATTGCTCTAGGAGCTAAGCTGATAGAGAAGAACAAGGTGTAATCTCAGAATATTTCCCTTTAGTCTCCTTTGATCTGTTTTGTGAGGACAAACTTACATTTTTAGTGGGCTCAACGCTGGGCTGGTCTGGTGCCAGCTCCCCAATCTGCAGTGGATTCAAGTACTTGCTCACCAGCACCTTGTCGGCATGGAATGCCACAAAGGCATCCTGCAAAGGCACAGGAATAAAGGAAAAGAAATCCAGATTTCATTTTAAAAAATAGAAAAAATAATAATTACTTAAAAACTTAAATTGCCTTTTGAATCACTCCATTCCTGGAAGTGTCCAAGTCCAGGTTGAAGCAACCTGGTCTGGTGGTCTCCCTTTTTTATCCTTTGTGAGAGGACACCACAACAAAAAACAGCACCAAGAGGACTCCACAGTTTCAGTGTGCAGTGTCATCCTTTCTAAAATGGTGGCATCAATTATACTCATATTTTTCATTCCTCAGGTTTCTTTGCTCACTGAGAGCCTTCTGTGTTTCTCGTCCTCTCCTGAGCTGCCACCTTTCATGGCTTTCTGCTTTTGGTTAAAATCTTCCAGTTCAATTAAGATGATTTCTTAATTTTTCATAATATACATCCAAAAGATTAAGCAATGGACCTAATGGAAAATGGACAGACATGAAAGTGGCTCAGATTCTGCAGGGCTTAATGATTTGAACATGGAACCAACCTACAAGCAGCAGCTCAGATCCCAGAAACAAAGTATCTGGTTCATCCATTGTCTGGGATTTTCCAGCATGCTAAAATGAAAGAAATCTGGCAGTAGTAACTCGAGAAATGAGTGATGAAATTACAGAATGCAAAGTTCAACTAATACACAATTTGAAATTTAAACTTGATAGACTGAAAATTATTTTGATTTCCATGAGCCTCAAATATCCCTTATACACGGAAAAAATTGCTGCAGCTCACAGCAGCTGCACAAGCAAGGCCAAGAGGTAAGAGGAATCCTGAAGACTTAAGAATCACAGAATGATTTGGGTTGGAAGGGACCTTTAAACCTCCCCTAGTCCAACCCCCCTGCAATGAGCAGGGACATCCTCAACTCCATCAGGTTATTCCATCCAACCTGGCCTTGAGTGTGTCCAGGGATGGGGCATCTCTGGGTGACCTCTGCCAGTGTTTCACCATCCTCATCATCAAAACCTTCTTCCTTATATCTATTCTAAATCGATGCTCTTTTAGTTTAAAGCTATTCTCCCTTGTCCTGTCCCTCCAAGCTCTTGTCCAAAGTCCCTCTCCGGTTCTCTTGGAGCTTTTTAGGTAACAGAAAGGGCTCTGAGCTCTTCCTGGAGTTTTCTCTTCCCCAGGCTGAACGCTTCTAGCTAGCAGAGGTGCTCCATTCCTCTGAGCATCTCCCTGTGCTCCCCTGGTCTCGCTCCAGCTCCGATCCCGTTCCCATGAGCCGCCTCTCCTCATTTGCCCTTTCCCAAGGCTTGGGGACGGCGAGGCTCGCACGGGGCGGTCACACTTGGCTCCCTCCACCCTGTCCCGTACCCCTTTTCCCACTGAGGTCTCTCCCAAGCCCTCTCCGCACGGCTTTTCCCGGGTACCCTCCTGCGGCTCATCCCGGTTCCCGGTTCCCGCATCCCTGCCCGCTCACCGTGGCGTCCTGCCCGGCGTGGCTGACGAGGAGCCGGGCTCCCCCCGGGTGTCTCCGGCAGAAGTGGCTGATGTCGTACACCTTCCTGTCGATCACCAGCCAGCGCTCCTGCCCGGCTGGACCCCTCCCGTTCCGCTGCCCGATCTCCTCCCAGGTGAAGCGCCGCATCCCCGCTGCGGGGGCTCGGTCCCTGTCCCCATGGCTGTCCCCATCCCGCACCTCCCCGCCACCCCCCGGCGGTGCCATCCTGCCCTCCTGCCCTCCTCCCTCTCTCTCTCTCCGTCCCGCAGCTCCAGCCCCACATCCCCGCTCCGCCGTGGCTTTTAAAGGGGGACCCGCCCCGCTCCCCGCCCCCTCCACCCGCTCCTGCTCCTCGGCCTTGGGTTTGCCTCCCCCCAAAATTGCCCCTTTCCTGCCCCGCTTCTGCATCCTCAGTGCCCAAAGCATCTCAGCACCCTCAAATGGGGGATTCCTGACTGCTTAGGGGGGTCCTCAGCAAGTTCATTCTGTTCCCCGGACAGGCTCAGACAGGGAAAACTTCCCTTAAAATACTCCTCTGATTAACCAGAAAAAAAAACCAAAACACTCTGTAGCTTCGCTTTTGATGTTACAGTCCACAAACCCCTTGGATGAAACGTGAATTAAGTATATTCTTATGTCCTACTAAAAAAAACCCATCAGCCGAACCACACCAATCTCCAGAAAACTCAGTGTAATATTTAGCACCTGGTGAAAATCCTGTATTTCAGCCCAGTTTTCCAACACTCAGCGAGCAGGAAGTTCCCACAGAGCCCGTGGCAGGAATAATCCTCGAAGCTGTGCCCTGGGTGCTTCTGTCACCGGGGATAAACCTGGGATGGCACACACGGAATGTTGTACCAGGTCCTGATGGCAGGTTGTGAAACTCTTTCTTTCCCTCCCACTGTCCCCTTCATGTTTGTAAAATTATTAATTAGACTTGGGGACTCCAGGAAATGAGCATTAATTGCAGAACAACACTTGGTGACACTTTTCCTCTAAACAGTCACAGCATCCACGTAATTTTCTCTTGTCAAAACAGACCCAATCTTGAAAATATAAAACTGTGGTTGACCGAATGATTTCTTTATCCTATAGAAAACCACCTGTTAAAACCCACATCACCAACGACACAGATGGAGGAGCCCAATTAGGACAGGCTTTTCAAAGTGCATGAATTAATTTATCTGAGACACACTTAGAACATTTCTTATGCATCTACTTGCTTTTTTTTTTTCTCCTCGGTGCTTGTTTGCTCTTGAGTCTACTTGTGCTGGTAGCTCACATTTGATAATGATACTGCAGTCTCTATTTCCAAAAGAAATGTTGATGCAAAAGAAGAAATCTCATCTAGTTATCTCAATGAAGGTGTTTACACAATATTCTGGCTCTTCTCCTTTACAGGGAGGTGTGAAAATCCTACAGCTGATTTCTCAGCCCAGCTCCCATGGACAGCCAGTGCAATAAAGTGCCTTAAAAAGAAATTTAATAGTTGTTACCATCAACCTGTTTCTTTGCTTGTCCCTTGTCACAGTAGGCACCTTTTCCTCCTGATTCCTGGGCTTTGATGTCCCTTTAGGCTCACATTTGGTGCTTTTTGCAGAACGTGTTTTTATAACATTTGGGATAAACCACTTCCAGCACACCAGCACACACCTTCAGGAGTGCAGCACAACTCGTTCCTTTTAGCTTCTCCTCTTATAGTCACTACTCAATAATGAATATTCAGCAGAAAAGGAGGAAGAATCCAGCCCCTCCTTGTCCCGTGTTCATACCTCCTTTGTTGCTTTATGGAATTATTAAGGTGGGAAAAGACTTCCAAGATCTTCAAGTCCAATCTTCAAGGTCATCAGCCCAAACTTTCTCTGACCCTAAAATCCTACACAAGGTTAAATAGCTCCCATTGGGTCAGTGACACAAGCAGGGAAAAGCTTCCTCCCCAAAGGATTTTTAGTGTATGGAGCACACAAAATAACCCCAAACACCACGACCTCTGTGCACAATTCCAGTACCTAAAGAGTCTCCAGGAGAGCTGGAGATGGACTTTTTACAGGGGCCTGGAGAGACAGGACAAGGGGGAATGGCTTCAAACTCTCAGAGGGCAGGGTTAGATGGGATATTGGGAAGAAATTCTTCCCTGTGAGGGTGGGGAGGCCCTGGCACAGGTTGCCCACAGAAGATGTGGCTGCCCCATCCCTGGAAGTGTTCCAGGCCAGGCTGGACAAAGCTTCAACCTGGGAATTTCAGGAGACAAGCGAGAGCTAAGCTGGAGCTTTAGATTTTTTTAAAACTGCCCTCGAGCACCCAAAATGGTAGCGAGGTTTTAAGACCTTACACGGATTTGTGTCAAGCCCTTGGATATCTGAAGGTTTCATTTCCTCGGGATGAGCCCGGTACCCTGCTGAGAGAAGGAGCTGCCTGTCACATCCAGGACATTCATGACATTATCACTGTGCCAGACGCTGCTCTGATAGGAATGCTGATAACAGCACGTCCTTACAACGGGACAATCCATTTGGGATCAAGCCCTTCATCAGTCTGCACCGCAGCCCTTGCATCACCAAGGTTGCAGCTCCTCAGCTTCTTACCCACATTGAGCAGCACTGATTGGTTTTGTAACCTGTCTTTTCACAATGAAGATGTCAGCTGCTAAAAAGATAAGCATCAAATTATGGCTCTATTAGCTACCTGATAACCACTGTTCCTTCACACATCCCACATTTTTATGCTCCTGTAATCCAGTCTTCCTTTCCTTGCAGTGTACCAAAGCTGCATGATGGTCCTTTCTGGAACTCTTGTCTTAATACATATGTCATCAAGCCTGGAAAAAAAAAACATATTTGGGGCAAAATTAAATGGAATTTTTGTGCAGATTAAAATCTGATTTTTTCCAAACTGAGCTGTTGCACTTCTTAAGTGATTAATACATTTGCTGGCTGCCAAAGGAGCTCCATTAGTTCCCTTTCTGCATGTCATGAACGTGGCAGATTCTGGAGAGAAACACTGATTAGATAATTGACACCAAAGGCATGAGGAGGTCAAGCACCTTCATAAATGTACAAGCAGGAATCTCCTCTCTCTTAGAAGCAGGAGAAAATAGAACAGAATGGAATACAACAGAATATTTCAGTGAGTTGGTAGTAAGGGACTGTCATTTAATCACTTAGATCATTTAGATCACTACAAATATCATGCCTGACCACTTCAGGGCTGACCAAAAGTTAAAGCCTCTATCATTGTTCAAATACTTCTTAAACACTGCCAGGCTTGGAGCATCACCCACCTCTTGAGGAAAAAGTGAAAAAGTAAAAGGAGCACTAATCAAGCTGAGTAACTCAGACAAAAAGATAAATAAAAATATAAATAAATAAAATAAATTACTAAATATAAACACATAAAACATTTACTCATAAAAATGTAATTTGTAGAAGAATGCAAGTTGTATCTGTAAGTTATTATTTACAGCCTGTAACCCCTGTTCCTTCTTCTTCTTTTCTTATTCTTTTACGTGGTACAACTCCTTAGAGGGATGTTCTCTATTCATTCCTCATTCCTAGGATCTGAGCAGGATCTGAGCAAGTCCCTGGAGTTTACAGCATCAAATTGGAAGGGACACCATGGTAGGGACTTTTGAGGGTCCTGATGTTCTGCTGAGGACGTTGGATGTGTTCAGCCAAGGTGGTGCTGTGGGTAGAACACTGTGCTTCCCATGGAAATTCGTCACTGCCTTTTGTTCCTGATCCTGGAGGCTGGTGTAGAAAAGGTTCAGGTGGGTAAGGATCTGATAAATTGTGTTTTAGTGGAGCAGCTGGAACGGCACAGAGCTGCTGGTAATTCTGTTTTTTGGGTACAGTAACCCATTCTCTGGGTGTGCTCCCCAGTTTTTAAGCAGCAGAGCTGAATCCTGGCAGCTTCATGTGATGCAACGTGATCTTTCACAAGAGGAGATCTTGTTGCCCCCAAAAAGCAGCAGCTGTGACTCAGGGTTTGCAGCACAGACTTGCTGAATGATAATAATATGAAAATGATAGCATCTCTCTCCCGTCACTCCACGTCACACCCTGATAGAGCTGATTGTGCCCAGTCTTGGTGATAACCTGGCCATGCAGGCATTAAGAGGGCTCTAGGGAACACGGTGGGCAAACAGGAGGGGGACACAGCAGTTCACACAGCCTGCAGGGCTGCAGGTTTCCTCCTGCTAGTGGGGATTGTAGCTTGTTGTGTTTCTGTTCATTGGTTGGTTTGGGGCTTTTTTGTTAGTAATGGTTTTTACACAATCAAAACTTTCAGTTGGTAAAATGTATGTAACCGAGTGGAACCCTCCAAAAATGATGTGTCAGACCCATTCCTGTGCAGAGTTTTGAGTTTATCACTGGTACCAGGGGGTGTTGCAGAAGAAACCTGCCTGCAGTGTGAACAGGTGAATGATCTCCTTTCAATGGTGGCCAAGCTTAGGGAGGAAGTTGAGAGGCTAAGGAGTATCAGAGAAAGTGAAGGGAAATAGATTTGTGGAGTTCTGCCCTTCCATCCTTGAGGGAGGTCCAACAAGAGTCAGAGGACTCCCAAACCTGCCACTGCTGATCCTCCAGGCTGGCAGAGATGAGATTGAAAAGAGGAGAGTCAGGGCAATATAAAGGAATTTTAACATGCTGGGTCGAGTGGTTGATAGGGCAGGAGCACAGGCAGTGTCCTGCTCAGTTCCTTTGGTGGCAGAGAAAAATGATGACAGGAATAGGAGAGCCCACATTATCAACAAGTGGCTCAAGGGTTGGTGTCATCAGCAGAATTTTGGGTTCTTTGATCATGGGGCAACTTTTATGGCACCTACCCTGCTGGAACTGGATGGGCTCCAACTCTCTGTTAAGAGTAGAAGGATTTTAGCTCATGAACTGGCAGACTTTGTTGAGAGGGCTTTAAACTAGGTTTGAAGGGAGAAGGCTTTCAATATTTGGTGAAATCAGGAGGAACATCAATAAGAATTTTACATTGGACTTCTGGAGGGCAGATTTGGCCTATTTAGGAGATTTATTCAGGGAGTTCCTTGGGAAGCAGCCCTTAAAAACAAAGGAGTTCAGGAAAGGTGGGTGTGCTTCAAAACAGAGATCTTGAGGGCACAGGAACAGACTGTCCCTGTGTGCCAAAGGTAAATT